TTCATGTTTATTATTAATTATATATAACTTCACAATGTATCCTTTTGGTTATTAAATGGGATTCGTGCAATTGTAAAATATTGATGAGATAGTACGTACGTGTTCATCATCATAAAATTTGAGAATGGGATTGATTTTGTCCGCCCAACTTCTACTTTAATTATCCCCCAATAATCTTGCCCTTCACTTTCAGACAATATTCCTTTTTGAATGGTCTTTTCAATTTATTACAAATAAGCTGAACCTAGTCCATGATAAAAAGAACCGGAAACCTACAGATATATATTGAATGGACGACACAGCCACTATTCTGGAGAGCACCAATATGTTAATTAAATATACGAGCTAACCCACCTAACATAATAATTTGATCATATATATATATTATATTCATGACTGTGGGGGATGCCTGAATGAATTCCCGTCACTCAAGTCTATAGATGTTAAAAGGATAAGGCAAAGGCTTTGGAATCTGCTTTATAGCAAAAGAAGAAATAAAACTGACCTTAAAATAAACAATGACAAGCAACTAGGTACCTCCTTTCCCCTACTTATAAATATATGCTGGTGGGGGAATCTCCTGAAGCTTTTACTGATATTGAATTTGATTGCCCACAAAAAGTTAACTTGCACTACGCCCAGGGCTTCATTAGGGTGGAATCTAGCCTTCACCACCATATTTTTGTTCCTATATGTATATAGGTTATTTTTGGCCACCATATATTTATATAGGTACATTCTAATGCTTATTATACATCAGTTATAATTTATTCTCACATGTTAAAAAATATGTTAAAATTCAAGTAAAAAACATCTTAAAATTGATAAAAAGTTTTTAAATTTATTCTGATTAAAATTCCCCCCTCTCTCCATATTTATAGATTATCATCACACCCCTCTCTCTTCAATAAAAACTAAATAAAGATCAGATTAGAAGATGATCAATAAATACCTTATAATTATAAATGACTTATAATGAGAAACAAGATGATCTTCCAATTCCATATATATTATATGTAGGACATAATTTTTGAGAATAACATAATCATATTTACAAAACATTTTTTTAAAAAAAAAGTCTGATATTTTAACTTTTTTTATTTTTATTTTTATCAATAACATTCTATATTATCGCCTTAATTATATATCTCGCTCACCCATTTCTCTTCGCGAATAAATGTATTTCTAGAAGATAATATAAGATACATTTTTTGTAAATTTGTCAGTTATTTTTATGTTAGATATATCATTGGAAGGAGTAGGTTTGAAGGCCAGCGGCTTAAAATAGTCAACCGGAATGGCATCTGTAATAGTGGATGCCTTGAGACGTCGCCACGTGGATGATGTGATGATGAGACGGCGACTTCCAGTACAACTGAAAAGTTGCCACTTCCCACAGCACAGGTATCTTTTGTGTTATCTATCTATCTATTTATTTATTATTATTATATTATTACTGCTACTTTACCAACGTACAAAAGTTCAGGACCCTGTTAAAATAACTTATAGGTAATTTATAAATGATTTTTTAATAATAAGTTATGAAATACAAAGTAAGTATGTGAAAAAAATTTTATCTCGATTTACATAAAATATGTTTATAAGAGATTTTTTAAGTTCTTCCAGACAAGCATCTAATGTCTTAGCCGTAGAGTAAGCAATAAAATGAGCCAAGATTCGAGCGCTGCTTAATGCTTATAAAAATGCTAAATATCCTCAATAATCAAAGCACATCCCACTCGTGCGTACGCGTACGTGCCCCAACAAGCTTTCTCTACCATAGTGCTTAATTAACAAATCATTGTGTTTAGAGTAATATTTAGATCAAAGTTATGTTTTTTTCCCCAAAGATTTTTTAATCTCAAAGAATTAATAAAGATAATGAATGTTACTCCTCCGGTCCTAATTATAAGACCCAATTGACTTATTTGAGGAGATTAAGGAAGTAAGTTAAGTTGGTTATTTATAATAAATAAGTGTTGTCATTCTTAAAATATCCTTGCTAATTAAGTATATTGGCTAAAACTATCATTATTGGAAGGATTATCTTGGAAAAAAATGCATAAATATAAGAAACAAAATGGATTGGGTCTTATAATTAGGACCAAATAAAAAGTCAAATTGGATCTTATAATAAGGACCGGAGGAGTATTATAATTTGTGCTGCGAAGAGAGTGAAATATAATGAAACAGGCACGCTTGTGTGAGGGGAAGTGCGCAGTGGCATACAAGGGAAGCAACGACTTCATGATTTGAGGGGCTAGTGAGGGGTGAAAGCAAGCAAGCAATTAAAGAGAAAAGTAGAGAAGGGGGCCTATGAACAAAATCTAACTCCACCACCTTCTCGTGACACGTTTGGACTCTTGTGCCTTTTAATTTAATTATCAGCTACTATGATTTGTTGATTAATTTTGTGCAAGTGGGTGTCTTTTTAATCCCTTGCTTCTGAATAAATGAGGTGGTGGGCCACAGCATTTCGGGCAGGGATCTTCCTGAGATTTGAGACCCACTTCCCTTGTACTCCGATCACACGCCCTTAGCCGCTAAGCCGACCTCAGCTTCCAAGTCCTTTTGGCTCCTGTAAGCCGCTTCTGTTTTACATTTTTCTTGTTATTATTACTGGGGCTGTCTCTCTATTATTTGTTTAGCTTTATTGTTCAAAAGTAAACCTGTGTTGTGGAATTTATGAGTCAAGTTCCATACAAAGAATCCATTCTTTAAACGAATATAGTTATATATATATATATATTTTGTCCAAAAAAGGCATCAAGTAAACAGAATTCAAACCTTCTCGTCATCCTTTCTTCGTATCTCTCAATACCGGACATTGTGTGTGTGTGAGTGCTCAAACCACGGAGAACAGGGAAGCTCCTCCAAAATCCAAATAGAAAAAAGAAAATGCAACTAAGAGGCATAGCCAATTCTCTCAATTCAGCTTGCTTGCTTGAAATTATTAATGATCAGATGGTGATATAATGATGATAAGAAATTTATAAAACAAGCAAAAGCAAGTGAGTCCTTATTTATAATTTTTCTTTTAATATCTCTCAACGCAGACCACAGACACTGAATTGAAAGGATGAACTCAAGAACGGTATAATTATTTTTAACAATGAACCGGGGACGATATTTTTTCCCCTGCAATTTATAAAGTTGAGGGTTTTACATTATAAAGGATGGCATTTGGTAATGGTAGTTAAAGGTCACTGGTTAGATGTATGAATTTGGAAGTTCTATTGGCGCAGGGCATTAATTTCTCCCACAGCATTATTGTTGTACTTTTTATTAATCCATGAACAGAATCAGATCCAAGTCCCCCTAGCTTATCCAAAAACAAATCTCACTCCCCTTGTCTTTTTTTATCCCACCACTAGCCAAGCCGGCTCCATCATGTGTCCAGAAATCCAAATTTCACTCTAAAACAGAGTGATTCAGATTCACTCGTTACCTGATTAGCACGATGCAGAAACACTGGCCCTCACGCCTAGGTATCACAAATTGGGAAAATAGATCCTCCCAGGGAAAACTGCCACAGAAGGAAGAAGCTTCCTAAAGGGAAAGCAATTTATGAGAATATGGCTCTGTCCAAGTAAAGCACTGCAATGCGATGCGATGAAAATTCTCCTTCGGAATGTAACTAAACACACAAGTACAGTGGTGGGAAAGAGTGTGTGGGGTTCACCACACCCCTATTTCTGAAATACCTACTCAGACCCCACCGATACTATTACCATGTGGAGTCCTACATCCATCGCAGGTCGAGGTAAAAAGGTGCTCAGACACCAAATTCTTAATAGTTTAGCCAGGAAATGTTGTCTTACCTATTGTCATTATCAGGGAATCAAATGGTAATGAGGCTGGGGAGTGTGTGTTTCGGAGCACAGTAGTACCTAACTTGCTCTATAGAGTATGCTGCAGAAGCAGAGGAAATACCAGAAAGTCCACAGGCAAAACTAACGAGAGAAAGTGACATAAAGCAGAAGAGGTTACAGGCTATTTAATGCAGTGGCATAAGCAGAAGAGTCAGTGTGGATGGGCTGGGAGGGAGAAGATGTACTAACACTGCCATCACCAAACTTACCTACCAGAAGAAGTTCCGAGACGATTCAGAGGAGCATTTTATAATGAGCAACGCTGAAAAAGTAGAGAAATGAAAGGGAGAAATTTTTTTTCCCCCCTCTCACTTTCTGACATGGTGGGAATTATAAAGAAGTGTCATTGTTGGTCACAGCGTTGTCGATCTCGCACCTAAAGTTTGTGATTTAGGTTCTCTTTTGCTCTGTATATGAATCCTGCAAAAGGGGCAGGGGAGTGATTTTCCCACGTCAACACGCTTTTGTTGGTCCGTTGTCGTACACATTTATTTTCTCCTCTTTGGAAAACAACTTTAACTAACAGTGGTAAGGATGAAATTTTGGCCTTTGGGATAATTGGAGCGCATGAAGTGATTTTTATCATCTGAATCCAGGTCAAAAATGGTCCAAAAAAAGTGTGACCATCGATTAAAAGAGAGTTGATTTAGAGACATGGTCCCAGGTCACTCGTCATCGTACTATTAATCTCCTGAAGGGAGGCGCTAGCGCAGTAACAAAACACAAGACATATGCAAGAGTATAGAAAACTGGTCCCAAGAAGCCTATGAATTTAATGACCACCCGTGACTGCTCATCCGACGTTTAATGATTTTATCTTCACATGCCGTCAGTGCTCCTATGTTTTAATAACAAATTATCCATTTTTCTAATCCGATACAAATAAAAGATTTAAGAAAATCAAACAGGTTTGGTCAAGTCAATAAGTGGAGGAGGGTAGTGTTTTCCCCAATCTGCGCAGCCGATTTTGGGAAATTAACAGGAAACGGTAATTAGCAAGTCCAGGAGGATTTAGTGTCCCCCGGGCAAAAGGAAAAACTTCCCCTTTCATCGTCACTGTTATAATTAATCACCGTGACGACGGAGCCATTCGAAGTTAACCGAGACAGCTGGCTCATAGCCAAGGTCAAAAACACGGGAGGCTTTCATTTCTTTACTGGGGCCATAACCTGAGGAAGGTTACAACTTACAACATTACAACTTACAAAGATACAAAGTTAAAATCTAACCCCAAGGAGGAAGAAAAAAGAAGAAGATAGAATAGAACTAGCGGGCCTCGGCGACGGCGAGAGGAGTAACGGCGGAATGCTTGCAGGGGCTAGGTGGGAGGCTGGACTTCCCAGAAGCAACAAGACGCTGTACGAAGCTATCGATTCTCTCTTCGTTGCTCTCTTTCAGCAACCTCTTTCCCCCAAACGCTAATGACTCTAGTCCTCTCTCTTTCAGAACCTCCTCTCTCGTCCTCCCCAAACCCATCGCCTGCACACATTCATTAAACAACCAGTCAATGGATTATTCATACACAAGGCAATTGAAATTCACTTCACTGTAGTGAAAGTGAAGGCACACAAGTCAGGAAAAATTCTCTTTCCTCATCTTATTTTTACAAGAAACCAAATAGTACTCTGGAAAGTCAAACTAAGTCTCGCTTCCAGTACCTGAATCCTTACGTAATCCGTATGGTTCCAACAGAAGGCGTTCCCCAACATTTGGTCGATCGTCTCGGAGACCCCATCCGCCGCAATGTCGACCACACACGACGTCGAACACTCCCCATTATCACATATCTTTCGCGCCTGTGTTCCGCTCGACGCGCCGTTGCCTAAGGACAGCACTAGGAGATCCTCCACGCCGTTAACCGTCGGGAAATCCCGCTTGTTATGTAGGACGTGCGTCACAGCCGCCGCCGTCGGGTTGTTCATCACCAGGCCGCCGTCGACGGCCGAGCAGCTGGTCTTGCCGTCCACGGAAGTAAAGTGGAAGGGCTTGAAGAGGCTCGGTGTGGCTGTGGTGGCACGGCATACCTTCCAGAGCTCAAAGTTGAAACTCGGCGATTCTGACGCGCCGGCTCGGGAAAACACGAATGGCGCCGAACTCTTGAGGTCAAAGCAAGGGATGAGTAGGGGTTTACACGTGTCCTTCAAGGTCAACAACTTTCCGTCCTCTCTTCTCTGGAGGACTTGCTTCAGCACGCTATCCATGCTCCTGGAAGAGAGTCTCCGGCGACGGCAAAAAACCCCGGTGGTCTTAGGCTTGTAGAGTTCCGAATTCTTTTCGGTGATGACATGGACGGCGTCCTTAGCAGTATAGAGAGGCCTGCCGGAGCCATCGTCGGCGGTGATCATGGCGGCAAGTATGGCGCCAATGCCAGTGCCAGCAACGATGTCGAAGAAATCGGCTATTTGAGCGTCGGAATCACCTGTCTGGAGACGGATCTGTTGCTCGAGGTGGAGGAGCGCGGCTCCGGCAACAATGCCGGTGGTTCCCCCGCCGTCGATGCTGAGAATGCGAGTTTTCTTGGAGGTTTCACAGTGGGAAAGCCATTTCTGCTCCAATTTGGAGAAAATCTCCAGCGTCACCTTGCTGAGCTCCATTTGCCGCCTTATCCTCGGCACACCGCAGACAGCTATATGAAATTAAAGCCCTGTATATATATCAGAGAGGAGGAGAGGGGTCGAAGTTCCAGGGTGTACGCGGGAAAGAAAGAGATTTAAAGGCGAAAAAAGGACGGAGAGTGTTCACGCTTTGGTGGTGAAGAACATAAATGGCTGAAGAATGCGAGTTTTCTCTCTCCCTCAAAATCAATCTCTCTCTCTCTGTGCACGCACTGAGCGTCCTCTATCTCTCTCTTGCTCGGAGAGAAGGAGGACTGTGAGTTGGTGATGGTGAGTTGAGTTAAAAAAACTGGAGGAACAAGTGAGAGGGGCGTTGCGGAATGGGGCAGTTATATAGGCGACCCTCTATGTCCTTGTCTCTTGATTTTTGGCTTCTTTAGTTTTTGTTTAAAAAAAACATTATATACATGTATTTGACAGTGCGTTGCTTTTGTTGGTTTTTGGTCTGAGCTTTCTTTTTTAAATAACAATATTTGGAGGAGAGGGGCGTGTCCGCTAGCGGGGGAGTCATACGTGTTAGGGCTGCGGATGCACGTGGAAGTGCGCGTGTTGCTATCGGTTTACGAGAAGCACAAACCTCGGCTTTTCAGTCGGCTCGGCTCTCGCTTCTCCTCTCTCTCTCTCTCTCTCTGGCCACCACCTCCCCTCACAGACGGTTTTCATCTTAATTAGGTCCCCCGCCCCCACTCTAATTAATTGGGTCCTCTCAGATTCAGATTTAGAGCGAAGTTAATTGGAAATTTCTGAGGAATAGGTTAGAAACCAGACGCCCCCACCCCCAACTGGAGAATATTAATTAATGATTGGATTGGATTCAATGGGAGAAAAAATATCTACAATATCCCACTCGGAACACTCATGCCAGCAGCACATGAGTCCAAAATATTTTAAAGCCACGGATGCATGTGACCTTGAGGATACGACTCCTGCCTATGAATTATGGTTGGCATTATTATCCAATCATCAATCGAGAAACTAAAGTAACCCTCAACATTTTGACAACACTCTCAGTTAATGAGCTGCTTTTTCCCTCAACGTGTATCAACATCAACATTATATGCATAAAATCAACAAACTGCAGGGTATAATCATTCGCACTAGACTCCATTTAGCGAAAACCTATGCCTGATTATGCTCGAGATTAAATAGACCACATAGGAATGAAGGGAAGCACGAAATCAAGAACAGCTAATATTTGCAGTGGATGGTATCTAATTAATTAATTATTTGATTTGTGATCGTAGTATTTTGCATTATACACAGAACACGAAATCAGGGAGATCGGGCATATATAAGGCCAAGCAGCTCCGGCTGCTGGTTCTAATGAACTGGAATCCCCAATAATGCTGTGGAAGGAGAGGCATCACGTGTGAAATCAAACCCTCACAAACTGGATCAACTCATATCAAGTTGTATAATTCATATTTGTTGATATTGTATGACGGGACACACACATATGAGTATTGACATTAAGACTACCAAAATGCGTTAAACACGTAATTACGTAGGGAGGGTGTGTCCGAGTGTGACGTTGCTACATTGAGGTCGAAGTAGGAAGTTAGAAGAGGAAAAGGAGATTCATTGAGGGAGACACAGCATGAGATGAAGGGTGACGTTCCCAACACATGTGTGAAAGGGACGCAGTGCCCGTCAAGAGAAGAAGAACCTCTTTGGAAAAAAGGCCACTCACTCAACTGTCCTTTATGGTCCTAATTTGGGAACTGCCCACTTCATTGGGGCATTATCACACTTTATGATTACCTTCCGTTTTGCATCTTGGAGTCGTTTATGCGCAATTCCATATGTAAATTTCTTCCCTTCCCTTTGTTGTGTTCTTTTTTTTTTTTTGGTTTAAGTTTTCGTGCTGCACCTTCTGTGTTAGCCCAGTGTATCAGCAAATCTCTTTTATGGAATTAGGTAGTAGGGCCGTATTTGGAAGTGGGGCTAGGCTGGGGAGGAGCCCAGCTTTGATTTTATTTATTCCTCGGACGAGGGAACATCGTCTTGGGCCCTGTCATCCCTCAACTTTCTCCTTTATTTGTTCCCACAATACAAAAGGTAAACTAAGCTCTTGCTTTTAATTTTTTCCCTGAAGTTCTTCTGTTTTTTTTTTTTGTTTTTAATATGAGAATATAAAGATATTTTATATTTCAATCTAAATATAAACACTTTTATTTTCAATTTTGAACTTTTTTGAAACAATCATTTACTTTGAGTCTGTTGTTACGCTGGGCTTCCAGTTCACTTCTTGTTGTTTTTGTCGTGTCTTCGTATGATGTCAGTAGCCCAAGTTGCACTGTGTTTTTTTCACCCGTTGAATAAACTGTTCCTGTTTGGGAAAAAAGTTTTTTGCCAAGTAAAAAGAGAAAATTGCAAATCAAACCCCCTAATATATAAAATTATGATTTGAAACCTTTAATTTGAAAAATAGCAAATAAGCACCCAATCCCACTTTTGTGAATATGAAGTTGTGATAAAATGTCTGAAATGCTCCTCATCCAAATAAGATGTTGACTATGAAAAATGACAAGTTTATTTTAGCAAATGACAATTTTAGTAGACTAGATCACAATTTCGCTGAGGATATGCCAAATGACAAGGTGACTATGGGAAATGACAAGTTTACTTTAATGAATGATAATTTTAGTAGACTAAATCACAATTTGATTGAGGAACATTTTAGACATTTCACTCACATTTCATATTTGCAAAAGTAGGACCCAGTTCTTATTTGCTATTTTCCAAATTAAGGATCCCAAATCACAACTTTACATATTGAGAGTCTTTATTGGTAATTTTTTCAAGTAAAAATATATTCTTTCAAATATTATCGGATATTAAATATTAAAATGTGGGCATATCTTCTAATACCTATTGTTTTAATAAAAGAATAATTTTATCCAAACATGAGTGAAAAAAACACATAAAAAATTCTGTCAATCCTGGTTATAAAACTTTCTTTATAAACTGTAAATCAGATCTTATAATTAAGATTGAAAATAGTGCTTACTTTTTACGGGATGATGTCACCCATAGGAAGCACGAGTCCATTGCCGAAAGAATAGTACTAGCGCTTTAATCCAACTAAAACATAAAGCTTAGAAATAAGTCGACCCAAAAAACCCCTCCAAACTAGAGCCTGCATGGCTATACCTCAACCACAAGACAGAGCGTGGATAACTTTTCAGACCATTGAGACCAATGAGCATGGATACTTCACACCAGTCAAAACGCTGTCATCATGCGTGACATTGCAGGAGGAGAAGATGATTATAAATATCAGTACGGAGTTTAAGTCATCAACAAACGCAACTACCAGACCAAATAAATACTTTTTAATTTGAATGGTCTTTAAATTAAAAAGTATTATCTTCTGTTTTAAATATAAGAACTAGTTAATTAATTTAAATATATTAAAAAAACTAATTAAGTTAATTATTATTGGTTATAAAATCATTATTTCAAAGAACTATCTTAAAAAAATATATATAAGAGAAGGAATTTTATATTTAAAATTAAAATAAAAGTCAAATAAGTTTTTATATTAAGAACTAAAGGTAGTACATTTAGAAAAAGCGAGTGTGTGCAATTTGTAGTTATAAAGTACTTTCACCATGTTTCATACAAATTAAGAAAAACTTGAAACTGCATTAACCTTCTATTAAAATATAATAAATTTTCACCTTTACTCTCATTTAATATATATATATTTCAAAGAAAAAAAAACAATCAGCACTATAATAAACGACGAACAATATAATATATTCATAGTAAAAATTAATGAAATGACTTATAAATAGGATTAAAAAAAATATGCTCTTTTTATCCTATAAATAAGACCTAAAAGAGTATTATTCACTCAAGTTAATAGATGATCTATTTTGAACATGATAATGATAATATATAAATTAATACTGTATTTCAACATCAGGGTGTATTTTTTATTTCTGGAAAGCAAGTTGACCAAAAAAATGTAAAATTAGTCAATAAAAATAACTCAATGCATGCACCTTAATTAATTCTCAAGGCGCGCGCGCTAGTGAAATTGAGTGCTAAATTGAGTGCTAGTAGTAATTAATGTGGTTTGAATGCTGGGGAAGAAGATTAATGTAATTTGAATGAATTTGTATGAGTTCATGAACTAATTAATTAATTCTTGGAATATCCAAATAGAGTAAACCACTTGTCCTCGATGCATGTCAGGCACTGAGCTTTCCTCCTTTTCATTTCAATATAAGGAAACGTATACGTATTAATCAAGTGTTATTATTACTACTCTAATTATTATTGACCAGCTCATGTTCTCGGCATATCGTGGAATCCTTAGCATTATGTCTTTTGGCACGAGAATATTTAGTTTTGTGTTCATGAATATCTTTATACATTTTTATGACATAAAAAGGGGGAAAAAAAGAGAAACGAATTAGCCATTAAGTAACAAATAATTTGCTATGTCAATAATATTTATCTTCTTAATTCTTATAAGAAAAATAGCATAGTAACATATAATGAAGAGGGAGCGAGGTAAAAAGGAAGACGATAAGTGTTTATGGACTTGTTTGTTTTAACGTCTGCATGCAACCGAATACATGTAGACGTAAATAGTAATGAAACGACGCTAATAAAATGTAAATGTGCCAATAAATATTTGCTCAGACACAAAATTTAGTTGTTCTTCATTAATGAAAATACTATTAAATTATGTACATAGACGACTAAAAACTCAATTAATGTTTTAGATTATGTGCATTAATTTTGTGAACGGTGGGGTATGTAACCGTGATTTACCCTGCTGAAGGCCTTCTCATGTAGGCACCTTCTCAGCAATATATACACACTCCTTTTCCTCTTCACTTGTGTGCAACATCTCAGAGCAAAACAAAGAGGGGATTCAGATTATTATTATTATTATTATAAACATATATAAAGATCATCATCATGTCTTCTGGGTTGTTTCTGCATACTTGTGCACCCCTTAAGCCCATTTTCTGCTTTCCCTCCTCGTTCACTCGTCTTTCCCCTCTTTCTTCTGCTGGTTAGTTAATTTGCTTATTTTCATCTCTCAATTTTGCTCTCTCTTTTTTATTATCTTCCCCACGCCTGCCCTGATTCTCCTGCTCTCTTCATTACTGTTCATTTCTTTTGTTTAAAATTCCTGCACCATGGCCAAATTTGTCTCTTTAATTTCCTCACAGAAAATCTAAGGGGTTGCTTGAGAGCATAATGATTCGGTATTGAGTTGGTGCGGATACAAAAAATGCTTATGAAAGAATCATTTTTGTATGGGATTCAATCGATCCGATTCAACTCGAATTAGTTCAGAGTCTAATATAACTCCAGCAAATACTGAATGGTTTACTGAAAAAAATTTGAATTCGAGATGGCAATGCTAAAAAAAAAAAAAAAACCCTCATTGTTTTGTCTTAAAAACAAGAAGCGTTTTGTAACCAGGATTCTAACATTAAATGTTGGTGAAGATGTACGTACTTAAGATCATAAGCATCGTTTATATACATGGTGGGTATGTATTTATGTGAGAAAAATCCGACAAATTTACCACACACGTATATAGTTAAATTACATTTCACTATATATTTGCAATGTATAAAATTTTTTCATAAAACTATATATTGGAGGAAGATTAAAAGCGTTGCGACGTGGATGCAGGCATCAGGTCTTTCAAAGCCAGCAACGGCCCTCGTCTCCCTTTTGGTGGCCCTCCTCCAACCACATGTAACGCCATTACCAGCTCTCGCCCTCGAGGTCCCATATCTTTCTCTAATTTGTTTAATTTGCTTATGCTATTAATTACCAACTTTATTCTATTCCCCCTCTCTATTATCATTGCTCTGAATAAATTCCCATTCATTCGCTTTTTCTATTTGTTCTACTCTGATGTCTAACGATTTTATTTTTATATTAATCATTCAGAAATATTTTTATCAAATAATAAAAAAGCCATCGTCGCAGTAATCAATAAAGTTTTCCAATAAATCACATTGAAATAACAAAGTAAAAATATATTTTCTAAATTTGTAACAGAAATCAACATTATTTTTAGGATGATTTGATAATCTGACTTGATTTTTAAAGAATAATATTATATTTTGAGTTAATATAATTTTTTGTCCTTTAAGTTTGCTTTGATTTTAGTTTTGGTCCCTTAAATTTCAAATAATAGGTTTTAGTCCCTCAAATTTCTCTTTATTTAAAATATTGATCCCTATAATTTAATAAAAACATGGACCATTTTGTCTCTGGAAAGATCAAACCTTATTGTTTGAAATTTGAAGAATTAAAACCTAAATAAGGACAAATTTGATGGACTAAAGATTATATTAACCCTTATATTTTAAAATAATTTGTGTGCCTTTCAAAGAAAAGAAAGTTTTTCCTACAAACATGTTCAGTTCTTTTAAAATACAGTTTGGAGGTTAAAGATGTGTACTCAACATAAAATGTAACTCAAACACTTATTACTCAACTCTTCCTCTTTTATTTCTTGTCTGATTGCTCACGCAAATTTTTTTTTTTTCCCCCCTCTATTGTATTTGCAGAAAGCGTTGACAGTTGGGAGAATGGGGATGATAAGGAATCTCCTCCTCATGAGGTTAACTCTTTTCTCGCCCCTCAATTTTAAACTGCACAAAATAAGTAACGCAGATATGTGTGTGTGTGTGTGTGTGTGTGTGTGTGTGTGTATTTTGAGCATGAAGGATAAACTTATTAGCTGATTTTGTGGCCATAATATATATGTGTGTGAAAGATTGCTGAAGAAAATGAGATTAGGAAGAGAATAGATGCTGTGAGGATGATGATGAGCTCCATGGAAGATGGAGAGATAAGCATCTCAGCTTATGACACAGCGTGGGTTGCTCTCGTCAAAGCTAACGATGGATCTGATTCCCCTCAGTTCCCTTCAGCTCTTGAATGGATTGCCAACAATCAGCTTCCTGATGGTTCATGGGGCGATGCTCTTCTGTTCTCTGCCCATGACAGAATCCTCAGCACACTGGCTTGTGTTGTCGCGTTGACTTCTTGGAATCTTCATCCCGACAAGTGCCACAAAGGTGATTCTTGATCATCATGTTCAATAATGAACAAGACCTTAGTTTGTTTCGTGATTTCCTCCATCATGTTCATTCTAATTAATCTTGTACGTACTATTACTTGCGTGTGTAGGAATGGAATTTTTCAATGCAAATCTGAGCAAGCTTGAGGATGAGAATGCTGTGCATGTGCTAATCGGCTTTGAAGTTGCTTTTCCTTCACTTCTCGATATAGCTCGAAGTTTGAACATTGAAGTACCCAGCGTTTCTGACTCTCCTTACTTGAAACGCATCTTCGAAATGAGAGACCTAAAGCTCAAAAAGTAAAGATTCATTCTTCACCATAGCTAACTAGCTTCGTTCATATGCTATAAGGAGTACTTTAATTTACGTAAAGCTCTGGCATATACTATCTCCCTGTGTTTAATATAAGAGTTGGTTAACTAATTTGATTAAATTAAAAAAATTTGTTAAGTTATTACTTCTGATCCTTAATATAAGAACTAGTTGACTGATTTAAGTAAATTAAAAAAACTAATTTAGTTAGTTATTTGTAATAAATAAAAATTATCTTTTCTAAAATATATTTACTAATCAAGTGTATTGGTTAAAACTATCATTATTGCAAGGACTATTTTTGAAAAAAAATGAATAAGTATGAAAGACAAAGGAGATTGGGGCCTTATATTTAGGATTAAAATAAAAGTCAAACAAGCACTTATATTAAAGACCGGAGGTAGTAGTTATTTATAATAAATAAGTATTGTTTTTCTTAAAATACTATTATTAGTCATCTGTATTAGTTAGAACTACGATTTGAAAGAATCTTTAATATGTGTTATTATTATTAGAACTACTTTAGAAAAAATGGATGAATATAATCTTATATTTAGGATCAAGTTAAAAGTAAAATTAGCTCTTATATTAAAAATTAGAGGTAGTACATATTATGTTAGTGTTTTAACTTGTGTTTGTGTGATTGTGGGGGAAGAATACCGAGGAATGTGATGCACACAGTGCCCACAACGCTGCTCCACAGTTTGGAAGGAATGCCAAATTTGGAGTGGGACCAGCTTCTGAAACTCCAATCCCAAGATGGCTCATTCTTGTTCTCCCCATCTTCTACTGCTTATGCCCTCATGCACACCAAGAATGAAGCTTCTCTCAGATACTTGGACAGAATAATCAAGAGGTTCGATGGGGGAGGTATTTCACTTTCTAGTTCTATTGGCTTTTTAGAAAATACTAGTAACCATCTACTAACTAACTATATTTTCTTAACTTCTTTTTATCAGTTCCCAATGTGTATCCAGTTGATTTGTTCGAGCACATTTGGGTGGTTGATCGGCTGCAACGCCTTGGGATTTCCAGATATTTCCAGGAAGAAATCAAGGACTCTATAAACTACGTTTATAGGTATATAACAAAGGTCTCATAACCGGCTGGTTCTTATGTTTCTAATCAAAGTGACAATTATATATGGCTGTAACTTAAATTCCAGGCACTGGGATGAGATGGGCATTTGCTGGGCACGAAATTCAGAGGTCCGCGACATTGATGATACTGCTATGGGATTCAGACAACTGAGGTTGCATGGCCTCCAAGTTTCAGCCAGTACGTTCAATTCAACCACTATTTGCACGTATGCAATCCAGAAAGTAAAGAGTACTCGTATATCATCTTCTTCTAATATCATCGTTCGTTTTAATTAATTTGATAGATGTGTTCAAGAATTTTGAGAAAAATGGAGAATTCGTTTGCTTCGCCGGGCAGTCAACAACAGCCGTGACAGGAATGTTCAATCTATACAGAGCTTCTCAGGTGCTGTTTCCAGGGGAGAAGATACTTGAGGATGCCATGCAATTCTCAGCTAATTATTTAACTCAGAAACGTGCTGAGAATCAGCTCCTTGATAAATGGATCATAATGAAGGATTTACCTGGCGAGGTTTGTATCTTAAATTATGTCTTGGTTCACTGTATAAATCATATCATGAAATTAGAATTAGTTAAATTCATGGAGGAAAAGATACGCAGGAAACTAACAAGAGACTGTGCCTGCAGGTGGGTTATGCGTTGGACATCCCGTGGTATGCAAGCTTGCCCAGATTGGAAACAAGATTCTACATTGATCAGTATGGCGGTGAAAATGATGCCTGGATTGGCAAGTCCCTTTACAGGTACTCTTGTTTTCATATAGGTTTTGTTATACTCATACCTTTTGGAATTATCGAGAACCATATCCTTAGCTTATATCCTTTTCATGATGAAGAAAGTCGCATCTAAATCTAGTAATTCTCTTAATTTCGACAGGATGCCGTACGTGAACAATGAGGTTTATCTTGAACTTGCAAAATTAGATTACAACAATTGTCAGGCTTTGCATGTTACAGAATGGGACGAAATCCAAGGGTATGTAAAATGAAGCAAAGTATGTTTCAATTTATATATGCTTCACAGTAATCAACAGTCATTGAGCTTTAACTCTTTCGGCAATCATATATATGAATTAGGTGGTATTCGGAATATGGACTGGAGGAGTTTGGATTAAGCAGAGAAGTTCTTCTCCTTGCTTACTTCGTCACCGCAGCCAGCACGTTTGAGCCTAAGAGATGTCAGGAGCGACTTGCATGGGCTAAAACAGCGGTTTTGGCTGAGACAATCTCGTCCTTCCTTAAGAATGAAGAAACAAGGAGAGCCTTTGTGCACAGATTCAATCTCGGCATTAATGGACAAGATTCTTCAATACTCAGGTTTATATCTCTAACTGCCTATGTACAAACTAACATTTCAATTAATTCCAACCACACAAGTCATTTTGTGTTGGTGGATCCTTGCTTCTTGTTTCGACCAATTATGTATGTTTCTTAGCCGTGGATGACGCTCATCTTCGGGTTTGCAGGGAATCAAAGGAGAAAAAGGCAGAAGAAAGGCTAGTGGAAGTTTTGCTGGGGACCATTGACAGCCTCGGTTCGCAGATGTCCGAGTCTTGTGGTCATGAAGTCGTCCACGATTTGCGTCAAGCCGTGAGTATTCCTTATTACTATAAATTAAACCCTGAATTCAGCAGTGTTACGTTCCACTATTTTATTGATTTCCTTTTATTTCTTTGTTTTTTTTTTAAACATGAAAAAAGTGGCAAAGATGGATGTCAAGCTGGGAAAGGGAAGGGAACGGATCCCAGGATGAAGCGGAGCTAATGGTGCAAGTGATGAATCTGAGTGCTGGCCGTCGCTTAGAAGAGCTCCGCTTCAATCCTCACTATCAAACATTGATGGAACTCACCAATTCTGTTTGCAACCGCCTCCGTCATTACCAGTCCAACAAGGTCAGTGGCAAAGAACAGACACAAGAACATTAAACAAATTTTGATTCTTTTTTTCTTTTTTCTTTTTTTTTCCTGGTGCCAAATGACACTTGTATATTTTAATTTTTTTTGCCGCTTCCAGGCTCATGATGGTGGAAGCAGCCACTTGGGAACAAACTGCAGAACTACACCTGAAATTGAATCAGAAATGCGAAAGCTTGTTGAATTGGTGCTTCAAACCGAGGATCCTCCCAATACCTTAGAATCCAATATCAACAACACATTCTTTGTTGTGGCAAGGGCTTACTACTACGCAGCTTACTGTGATGCAGGCACCATCAATTCTCATCTTGCCAAAGTTCTGTTCCATAGAGTGATGTGATGTAAATCACCATTACTCTTAGAATTAATGGCAGTATGTCACCGTACTCTTTCAGGGACAGCCAACTCAATTATGTACTAAGCAGCTCTTTTATTGTTCAAACATATAAATAAGGATAATAAAGTAATAAAACTAGTTCTCAAAGACACCAAAAGCTTCTTATATAGCATCAATGCATTTTATGTCATGAATAAAAGTAAAAGGAGTATGTCGAGGTAATAGCATAGGCTCTAGAACAATAAACATGAAGGAAAATACAGCATAAATTACAAAAAGTGATCAGTGGGTCACACCACATGACGTTCATCCACCATATATTCTGCACCTGTGCAAAATAAAAATAAATACCATAATATTACATGTCTGCTACAGCATCTTAGAACATTAAGCTATTATGCAATAGAAAACCATTCCTAGATTGCTCAGTGCACACCACTGATTCTCTGCATTCGCTACGGCGATCATCTACAGCATATTTAGAGAGAAAAATAGATGAAATAGAGAAGTTTAAAGATGGGAAATAAACCCCATATACATCTATGCTCTTTCGTATCTCTCTAGATGCGTGTAAGTAAAATCACATAAGAAAAGACAAGGTTAAAATCCATACACATCACGTGGTAGATTCTTGATACTAACAGTCTATTTCTGGAGGTAAGAGGCCAGTTTGAGCTCAACATCTTCTTTGGCCTTTTTATCGAATGGTTCCTCCCCGATATATAAATCTAGAATTGACCGACAGAGTAGTTTACTTTGGATGCTTCCCACTTCCTCTCCCTCAACTACAAGGAACAAGCAACATAAAAATGGAGGTTCTCGTTGCAGTTTGATATGACAGAGACGTATGTATAAATAAAACAGTTTGCCTAGGGTCAAATACACTTTCCCAGAATGCAAATAGTTTGTCACGCCCTACCTTCCTGTAATTAACTGGGAATATGATGGAACTGGAAAAAACTCTTGTAAAGATCAAAATCAGTACTGATGAAAGAGTTAATTAACACCTCAAATCAGCATCTACCTAACAGATGCATGGGTTCTTTGCTGGAGCTTCTAAATCTTTGTTCAGAATCCCTAATCTGAAAATTTAACACAGCGCGGAGAAGGATATCTTACTTGATGTTCGAAGAACATGATCCCGATCTCTTGAGAGATGAATTACTGATCCTCGTGGTATTTTGTATTCATCTTTAAATTGAGAAGTGAACCTACATCACAGCTGGCTAATGAAGTAATACTATAAACATACAAAAATTAGATTAAGCGAACAAAATTATATGCGCTTGCTCTTTTACACAGATATTTAGAATAGAATTTCCTGTGATTTTATCTATCAGAAGCAAATATTCAAAAAGCACTTGAGCAAAAAGAGAGATCTAGCAGTCCTTAAACAGGAACAGAATTAATAACAGGATATTTGCAGGCCAGCTCACATGCTAGTCTGTGCATGTGTGAGGATGTGTGAGAGATGATTAAAAAGTTGGAGAGTAAACTGTAACCAACAAAATTTTACACAAATGAGACATAGTGACTCTAATTTTCAGTGTATAGAAATCGACACCAGCAGTTGAAGGAGTCATTAACCTTTGAAGCAATTCTTTATTATCTGATCCCCCAAATTTTTGCAGTCTGCTTCCTACTGACTCTTCAAATGCACTACGTACAGAGCGGATGCTCAATTTACCGTAGACTATTTGGAGTCTAACTGTCACGCATATATCATTTTCCATAAGATCTTCAATAAAGTCCTTTTTTCCCTTCAATTCAGAGCCAGAAAATTTCCCGTATTTCTCAGCAAGCAATTTCTTAATGTCATTATCATCAGCATAAACACCTGAAATATATTATAAACACTTTTCTTAAATACATAAAAACAACGAGAGCCCCATTATGCCCCTTTGGAACACCCAAAGCAATTGCATCATTTTGGACCAAGGAAGGCATAGAATTAGCGGCATTGAGTATTCCATAAAAAGAAGTTTAAGATAATGTAAAACACTTAAAAAGTCATTCACGGTGCAGCCATACGGAGGCAGCATTTAGGAGAAAGAACGTTCTCTGCCATTAGCTTTAATTTTCTCACCAACACACAGTAATTCAAAGGAATTTGAATTTCCGAGTCAGCAATAATAATAACACTATTCTGTGAGAATCAAATGCACGATAAATAGGGTATGCGACATAATGTCCAGCTAAGATTGCAGAAACAGAACCAGAAATCATAAAGAAAAGCTCATTCTGGCAATCAGCATCTGAGATATGGTACCAAGGAAAAAAATGCCGCCCTCACTTAAACCAACGATGGTGTGGTAGGTTGAATGTCATACCGAATGCATAGACATCAATGTTCTTCAATCCCAAAATGCTTTTCTTACGTATCCCCACCCCGCAAAGTTTCTGCGAATCGCCAAGAGCTGATGGAAAAGACGCTCCAGTCCTCGGCTCCGTAACGGGCTGCGAACTATCAGCCAAACTCAGAGAACCCCACAAAGGCAGCGAATTTGCAGAAGAGAAAAGGAAATTCAAAGCGTTATGAAGAAAGGGGTGTTGTGAGATTGGGTTCTGTGAGGAGGCATATGCAGCGGTGGCTCCGGCAGCGGCGGCAACGGCAACCACAGCAACTTTAGCGACAGAGCATGGGCGAGAGTTGCGGTACCTTGGGGGGTGTCCCGAAGGCTGAGAAAACGAGAAAGGGAAGCGGAGCGACACCATGTTTTCGTCGTTAATGTCAAGAGATTCACACACAGATATAAAACTTTATCAGACCAAAGGACTCGTAGTCCGTAGGTGGCATTGATACTCCCGTCATTGCGAGGGAGGCGTTCGATCTGTGACCCCAAGCGAGTAGCGCCTGTCACTTTAAACCCCGAAAAAAAAAAAGCCACTATAGCAGGCTGCTTAATTCTTTGACTGCTTGACTTATCAGATTATTGGCACTCTAATTATATATTAGTTTTAAATTAGATAAGTTAATTTTAAAAAATGTGTTAAATATAAGAGATAAAATGAATTAAAATCTTATATGTGTGTAGATATATGAGATAAAATCAGGTCTGCAACTAACACTGGGTTTAAAGAGTGGTTGTTTTTGGGCAAAGGATAGCTGGGCATATAAAAAGCAAGTAATTAGAGTCTCAAAATCCCGAGACTTGGATGGAGAAAAAAACGACGTGTTAAATACTACTAACGTGTTTTCACCAATATGGGTGTGTATTAATAACGCGGAGCCTACTTCGACAAATAGTAGCTGGGATTGGCCCCAGTCCATATCCTTTTGTTAACTACCATTCCGCTTGTTGCGCTGTTGGTTGTATTGAATTAATAATATGGATATTGGATCTGGTCTTTCGTGTAGAGAGGGGGATCAAATAGACGCCACAGATAATGCCAACAGTCCCATATCAAGGAGCGCCTTGTAAAAGAGGTGAATTTTATAAATTCACTGGGCTTTTTTGAAAAAAAAACGTACCTGAGGCAGGACATTGTTATGCCAAGTGAAGAAGTTTATTAGTTAAAGTCATGTCACGAGCTGAACCAACTTCAAAAGCCATGGTTAACAAAAGGGTACATAGAACATTACAAACCTTGCACATTGGCATGAAGTGATAATCAGATTCACCGTCCCCCAGTCCAAAAGCTGGGCTAGGCCTAACCCACTTGATTTATTGGGCTGGACCGTCTCTTGGTAAAGGAGGGATAGGCCCAAATTAAACCTTGAGGCTGAAGCCCGTTCCGTGATTTTTATTTGGAATTCGACGCCGCAAGAGTGGGTGCCTGACTCCATTCAAAGCGAATCGGAACTTCTCGTCTTGTTGTTGAGCGGATGGGATTCCCGATGGATGGCTCCAATAACTAATTAAGCTTTTATTATTAATAATTTAGTTGCCAGGGTATATTCTGGTTATGTGACAAGAGGTAGCATTCACAAGTGTTATCCCGCATCAGTGATGAACAGTTGTGTCATTGTGATTTACGCACAGCACTTGGCAGATCCAAGCTATAATGGCGGCTCCCAGGTCACGTCCTTGTCTTTTATCTTGTTTGAATTAGAAAAAGGGATGGTTGTGTGTGTGTCCAGTGCTGTTGAGAAATGAAGTGAATATAGCCGTCCCTTGAAATGGATGGGGCTAATAAAGATATCTAAGATCGAAAGTAGGAATCATATTGATTTGTGTGTGTGTAAAAGGCAGGCCTATATACGATAATAAAGTAGGAAATCAAAGCAAGAATGATTTAGTGGGGTGGTAGAGGTTCCCAGTTAGAAAAGAATGAGTGTTTTAACCGTGGCTCAAGCGACACTTTCTTTAATATAATGATACTAATTATGTTAATAATAATAATAATATTATTATTATTATTTATAGGTCCCTCACCTTGCCACTTACGCAAACCAAACGTCCCCTGTTTCTGTATATTTAATTCAACCTCAATTGTTCTGGCACACTTTTACCCTTTTGTCATCCATCCACTATGTGTTCGCCGTTTGTTAATTTAGACGGTGCATTTTATGATTACCACTGCTACTATTATTATTTAGCGATTGGCAGAAAAAGGTAAACCCATGCCAAAACTGTTTTTTTTCCTTCTCAACTCAAAAGGTCAATTTCAACAAATAATGATCTTTCACATAATTTTATAGATAAGCTGACTTTTTGTTAAAAAAATCACTTTAAAAAGTTTAAATAACTTTTTCTTCCTTTCTGGCCTTTTTTTTTTGTTGAAAAAATTAAGTTCTCTAAAACAGTCCAAACGAGTTTATAGATGCAGGACATTAATCCAAACAAAATAAGAGTTTATTTAAAATGATTAATAAGTAAATTTTCAATCATGATTTATGAAATATAAAATAATTATTTAAATTAAATTTTATCTCAATTTACGTAAAAATACTCATAAACACTTAAAATAAACAGATGCAAATAAGCCCTTAAGTCCAAATAGAGTAGAATTTTAAATTATTTGGAACCTATACAACATCATTATTGGATGGTGGTGGCAAAGCAAACAATGATATGGGAAATAAGTTGGTGCAATGATAACAAGTGATGAGGAGATTATCGTCAAATGGCTCCTTGTTTTTTGGGGGGAAAAAAAAAGAGGGGGGACCACCGAGAGAAGGCCAATTTGTGAGACGCTGCCACTTGCCAGAACGGGAATGCCGACGTGCTGTGAACGGTGACTTCAAATTGTCATGACGTCATAAAAACTCACACCCTGACCCCTTTTTTTCTTGAAAGGCGTATGTTTGTGTACAGTGTACGAGTCTCATTTGGTTATTTATTTGCTTCTGGTTTTCATTATCTTTTCCCATCATTTATTCCCCAAATAATTCACAATTTTTTTTCCCCGAATTGCGGCTACGATTCTTAGGAAACAGGCATCAGTCACGAACGATTTGTTACATTTTGAGATTCCTAATCCACTTTGTTATACAAGTGGCAGAATATTAACAAAACATCACCGGCAGAATAAAAACCAGACTGCACCACATAAACCCCAGTAAAATAAATGAACAACGTCTAAAAAATGTATTATAATATATATATATATATGGGGGTAATACTAACATCGAGTTTATTATAACCACTACGGAACTGTTTGAATTAAGGGTAGAAAAAACAAATTATTTTCATTTTGCTTTTTAGAAAAATAAAATTGAATAAAAGTTAACTTATATTTGGATTGATTTTTTAAAACAAGTTAGTTTGTAAAAGAGAAGTTATTTAGATTTTGATTGAATAAGCAAGTTTAGTTTGTAAAATTATTAAAATAGTATGACTTTTATTGGATATTATCTTTGTCTTTAATATAAAAACTAGTTTGACTGTCATTTGGATTTAAATATAAGACTCTAATATAATTTGTTTATCATATTTATCTATTTTTTTTCAAAGTAATCGTTATAGTAGTTTCACATGTTAAATATTCTATCAAATGATAGTTCTAGTAATACATATGATTAACAATACTATTCTAAGAAAAACAATACGTATTTATTATAAATTTTCTTAATCTACTCAAATTAGTTAACTAACCCTTATATTAATGATTGGAGGATGTAGTAATAAGCCAGCTTTTGTGTATAAAATTGCCAAAATACCAATCCTTACTGTGTATAAAAACGTATCAGGTTATTCTTAATCATTTTTTCTCTCTCCATGGTGAATAAGCATCAAGTAACTTCATGCTCTATAAAAAAAAATAGATTGGGTAAAAATTGTTATGCTTTTAAGCCATTTTGCTCCGAAAGCCAAATTGATAAAA